GAACTTCTTCTCATTTGAAGTCATGCTCTCCTCTGACAGTTATTTCTCTCTTTTTTTTAAGGCAGGAGTTTGTTCCTAGACCTCAGGTCCAAGCTCCTTATGTCAGTCATCTGGCTGCCTTTCTTTTAATTAAAAATAATACTGCGAAAAAGATCCTGAAAAAAGCTAGGTGTTTTTTTTCCAGACATGAATGAAAAGAGAGTTTGGCTGAAGGCAACAACTACTCTCCTATTCAAGCGAAAATCAAACAGCCTTTGCTTTTTCTAAGATAGTACAGTTCCTCACGTAGCCACCTGATTGTAAACGTATGTTTGGTGACAGTCAGCATCTGCTCAATTAAGTAGCACTCAATACAATCCAATCGAGGTTGAAATGACTAAGAGGCACTTTAAGTAGTACTCCCTTTGATCATCTTTGTCCCTTGATAAATGGGTAGCTTTTAACCCTTCACAGCTCCAATACCCTCAAAGCACACCCATTCACTGACTGGCTCGGATCACACAGATATTGATCTGTAAAGAATGGTGAGATGAGTAGGCAGTCAATTGCAGCAAGTAGTGAAATCGACATTTCACAAGGGTAAAGTGAAGGTCCGGCCTCACACAAGGCAACATCATTTTTTCCCATCAACATCCTGAGGAAATTAGAGGGTATATGTGTGAAGGTTAGGCGATGATAACCTCCTAGAAAAATATACCAAAATGCTCCTTCAATCCTCTATTTTTATAAGTGCGTTTATTATATATAAAGGGAGATAATGCTTTTTCCAGGTTTTTGAAATACAGGTTGAACAAAGTATCACAGACAAAGGATGTGTTCTTTGCAAGGTTATTATATTTGCTCTGTAATCGACAGTATAGGTGTACACGGTGTGTCCAGCCTCCAAATGTTTTGCTTGTTCCGAAGGTTAAAAGCTTCACTTATTGATTCATTTTGTAAGCCTGGTGAGGATTAAAAGGGGCACACAGAAAGAGGAGCTTTAGTAGAAAGAAGTCAAACTAAAAGTCTACATCCCGCTAGCAGCTCAGTCGGGGCGTAATACTCGTTTTCAATAAAACCATCAGGAACTGTGTGTTCAAACTGAACATTTTACCTTATCATGAAGCAAGTTAAAAAGTCAGGGGGATCAGTAAAACAGTTTCTGCACAGGGTGACCTTTTAAACATAGATATTTTAATGTGAACTACCAATGTCAACCTTTGGGTGGCGCTATAGGGGAAGTCAGAATATCAAGTCTGTAGGCTTTATCATTACATTACATTACATGTTACTTGTTAGACGCTTTTATCCAAAGCGACTTACATACTCAATACTGTGGACAATCCCCACTGGGGCAATTTGGGGTGACGTGTCTTGCCCAGGGACACAACAACATGCTGACTGCAGTGGGGTTTGAACCTGTGACCCCCTGATCCGAACACCAACACATAACCCACTGCACCACACGCCTCCATCCTCTGGGGACCATGAATATGTGTCCAAAAGTTACAGCAAACAATCCATTGGTTTTGAGATATTAGACATACTTACCGACACCTTGAACAGAGTACCACAAAGTTCTAATCAAAGGCAAGTTGGGCCGAAAAACTGTCAAGTCAGTAGTTTCCAACATTTTTTCACAATGGCGGTGGCTTAGGCTAACTTTATTAAAGCAAGTTGTTTGTGTCTTTAGACCTTCAAATTAGTTTATAAAGCTTTACAGACTAAACATTCTTGATTTGATAAAGCGAATTAGAGTGACTTGGCACTGGTTGCCTTTAAAATCCCACAAAACAAGCTATAGTGCAGAGCACCAATAAAAAGGGGAGCTGTGGTGAAGGAAATGAGAGGAAGGCTTGGGTGTGTAGAAACAGTGAGGGGAGCAGAGTGTTCCAGATAGAGACAGACAGTGGGAGATAGGATAAGAGACATGCTGAAAGTGAGACAAGAGGGTGAGACGGAGAGAGGGACGGCCCAGAATGCATGGGTGGATATGAGCTTTGTCTGGAGAACCCTCTTTATCTGATAGTGTTAATCTTGTACTCTGTTTGCAGCGCCGCCACGCTCCAGCACTTTTAACTAGCTGTGATAATGGGAGGAACAGCATCAAACTCATAATTGAATTAGCTCGCTCTTTATCCCTGTATCTGCCTGAGTCCGCTCACCCCTAAAAACACTCCTCCTTCGACAACTATTCCTTAGCTAATTGACTCTGTTGCCCCGTTTCACCCTACTAATTTATCGAACCGGCTCCCAGCCTGGTTCACCTTTCATTGGCTACTATCTAATCTCATTTTACCCAGAGGTGAGAGGGATTATTTTGTTTCTGAGCAAGAGAGATAAAGAGGAAGGAAGGGAAATAAAGGAAGCCGGGGCTCTATGGCCAACAGCTTGTGCATTCATTTTATAACTGGATTTAGCTGCAGGTGTTTGAGCATTTAGGGCCACAGGCCAAACCAACAAGCTCGATGTGATTAGGCCAATTTCACTTGCTGTCAGTAAATTGAATTTAGCGTAACTACCTTTTTGAAATTAATTAGGAAAATATGCCCAAGTTTCTGGTGTGTTTTAGATTCATCCAAGTACCAGATGATCAATTTGTGATGTTTTTTGAGTGAGATAACTATTGCTCAGAAGCCGGCTGCAGGTTTTATTTGAATTAGCTGACTCATTTGTATCACAGCTTTTCTCCATCTGGCCCATCCCTCTGTGTAGAAGGAGCCAACGGTGGTTTTTCTTTGCGGCTGAGCCGATATCAGAGCAATTGTTCTCGCTTTCATTTATCTCCTCTAAAGGTTAGCTTTGTCCACCAACCCACTCTCTGCCAATGAGTTTAAATAATATCTGATATAGACCCAGACCTGCGTGTGTATATCGCAAGTGTGGAGATATTGGGTTCTCTTCGTCTCTATCTCTGTCTGAGTAATGATCCGCTATCACCTGGATTGAAAAACCAGGAACCATTGTCCTCCTGTTCGTGTCATTTATCTGCCAAGGAGGATGTCTTTTTGTCCGACTGTGAGCAAGATTACAGAAAAACGACTGTCCGGTTTTCAAGGCACTTGGTGGACGTGTGTAGCTTTTTTCAAGATAGAAGCCTTTCAATTTTAGAGTAGACCTGAATAACGGAGTTGATACAAGCATATTGTTTACTTTGGTGACAGGCTTTACATAAAACATTCAGAGTCTGGGCCTCTTAATCTAGAACCAGAGGGTTGGAGTTCTGTCTTTATTATTTGCTCAGGTATCCATTCCTCCATTGTCTCTAAAAGGTTTTTGGCTGTTAATTTAATGCTCTAAATGTCTTATATAACTTTGCAATCTAGGGCATTTGGCCTTGGCAGGGGTCTGTGCACTCCAAAAGCCGATTTCTCTAATATTTTTACTTTAGTGGGTGACATAACCTCGCAAATGGCTTCTTAATGATGTCATTGACATAATGTGCCCTCTGATGTTGGAAAGATAAGACCAGAACACATGCCATTGTTGATTTAAAGCTCTTATTCTAGCCTCTTAACCAATAAAGTCCTCTCTTCACCTCCATTGAATGTTTGTCATCAGTCCATTTTCTTCCACACTAACACAACACCCATGTCTTCTAAACCACCGCTGGTCCCTCCACTATCCACTCAAACACCTTTGACACCAAGATATGTTTTCATCCCTGGGCTCTACACAAAGCCCTTTACACCACCTCTCAAACAACAATGCACTCTCCCTTCTGTTTTCTCCCTTTTCTTAAATTGCAATGTTTGTTTTTTTTGTCAGAAAAGCCCAATTTGGCATCAAGTAAGAAAATTGACAAGTGATAGTTGATGTTGAAAGCTTTCCGCTGCTCCTAAGAATACATATCTGTTATGTTAAGTATATGGTGGTTTGGCTGAAAATAAGTAGGGAGGAGTATGGCAGTTACTCATGGTGCACGAACAGCAGTCTCCTAAGTGAAAGTCTTGTGTTTTTGGACAGATCCCCCGCCCAGACTCTGCAGTTAAATTAACTATTTAAAATCTTTTTTTTGTCGGTTATGGTTTTGTTACTTATTTTTAGATTGATGGCTTTAACATCTAAAACATTTAGTGTCTAAATTATGTTTTATTTGCACACAAGAGTCATGGCCTCACATCGTTTGTTTTCCATTTATTTCCCTGCTGTGTAAAGTCAATTTATATAAATGCACATTGGTATTTCACGCAGCATACGAGTGGCTGTCCTGCAGAGTCATTTCTGAGCATCAATCAGGGGAGAGATGAAAACCGTCTTTCTTGACAACCTCATCTCATCTGTAAATACTCATCCCACTGATGCAGGTTTTCATGGAATTAATGAGGCAGCTTCATGTGCTGATGCATGGGAAATTGCTTTCCCTTATTGCTTCACCCCTCCTCCTCCTCCCTCACCAGAAATCATATTAGCCAAAGCAATGTAATTTACAACATGCCATTTGTTAATTTAGCAGCGCTTGCTTGTCAGCTGTCATGTGTGTGTGAGAGATACGGAGCGAGTGTGAAGCAGGAGGAAAGAAACTGAGAGTGAGATGAAAGGATGAGACATGTGAGAAAGAAAGAAAGAATTATACAGTATTGATCATCTCATCAGCCCACTAATTAATTGATTCACTAATACATTAGTAATTTACTTGCCAAATACTGTGACAAAACACCAGTTAAGCCAACATATATTTATACGGCATGACCAGCTTCTTTTTTTTTAAATGTAGCACTAATGAAAATAAGTTGTATCTGTAAAGAGCAAGAAGGTGCTGTTCGGTATCATGGGACAAAGCGTTTCTGCCTTCAAACTTGGATGTGATATTTGATCAATAGAGCAGACCTTGGTCCGTATAAGTTGATTATCATTAGCCGTTGTCCACTGTCAGTGCTAGTCTGCTTGTGAGTTTGTAGTAATTACTGCGCCGTGTAAAGGTGCTGACTGGGAAACAGGAGGGCAGACAGCAATCAGTCGCCTCCTCCTAGTTATTGTCTATGTCTTCCACACCGGCGGCCTTTATCTCTGCTCGTCAGGAGCAGCGACCAACACAAGGCCAGTTATTACCGCCTCAGCGGCCTGGATAAGATCAAAGACGACGTTGAAACACTGAAGATGTAATGACTGTGCTCTTCTAAAGACTGCTGCATGGTTTGTCATGTCATTATCCCCTGGTTCATGCTCAGTTTCCCCCCCCCCCCCCCTTCATCTCTACCAAGTCTTTCTCAGTTTCAGAACAAGGACAGTCTCCAATTATTTTGATGCAGAGAAAGAATTTACCCTGGGCTCATGTTTCACTGGGAACAAATGCGTCTTTCTCATCACCTTTCTTTTTAGCTTTTGGTGTTTTACTTCAGATCTGGCTTTTTCGTGCCTTCTTTCTTCATTTCCCTCGCATAAAATATTCTGCCGCATTCGTGCCAGGGGTTTGAACAAGAGCAATTTGTCATGTTGAAAAAGGAAGCACTGAAAGCCGCTCACGTACTTCATGCTAATTCCATGTGACAGCTAGAGGAGAAGGAGGAGAGCAACAGCGTGTCAGTATACTAGAAGAAGAGGAGGTCATGGTTCTTTGGCACATGTTTAGCCTCTGCCAGACTGTGACCATCAGTAATGGAAGTTATAAGGACAAAGGGGTTGGACAGATGGGGCAAAGAGGCAAATATTGGAGTCTTGGCTAAACCCCAGTTGTGTTTGAGGTTGTGCGCATGCAGGCTGTTTTCAAACACCATTCATAGCTAAGAAAAGTAAGACTTTGTCCTTCATACATCTCCAATAAATGTGTTATGGGGAACCAGGAAGTATAACGAGCGACAAAGTCAGAAAAACGAGGAGGTTGGGTTGAATGGATGGGATAAAAAAACACCTTATTTTACAAGGAGAATTGTGTTAACGTCCCATGTGAGCCCGGAATACATTTCGTAAAGAGAAAAAAAGTGTAACTTCCGTATTAAAGTGGCAATAGACTATAGAATAATGACCCCAGTAGCTTTTGGATTGGTTTCCCATAATCCTCATTTTACAATGCAATATAGACTGCCGGAGGGTCGAATTACCATTTCAAAAGGATCCTGCGGTCCTGTGTCATGGATCGCGAGTCCTGGATCTTGAGTCGTGGCTGTGTTCCTGGATCATAAGTCCTGGATGGATATCCTCGTGGATCCATCTTCCTATTATACACACATGCATTTCCAAACATTTGGACTACCTATGTTGCAAATGTATTATCTTTTCAATTTACACACGGCATCTATTGCACGTCTGTCCGTCCTGGGAGAGGGATCCCTCCTCTGTTGCTCTCCCTGAGGTTTCTCCCATTTTTCCCTTTAAACTGTGGGTTTTCTCTGGAAGTTTTTCCTTTGATGTGAGGGTCTAAGGACAGAGGGTGTCGTATTGTCATACTGATATTCTGTACAAACTGTGAAGTCCACTGAGACAAATGTAACATTTGTGATATTGGGCTATATAAATAAACATTGATTGATTGAAAATAAGAGGCCTAGCCATATAAATGGCACCACTCCCTCGATTGTGCACATGTTGCTGGACATTCATGGGACGTGTTGCGTTCAGACTTTGTATTAACAATGCAGCAGATTATTACAAAATTAAGTGAAAACCTTTTCTCTTATATAATTGCGGATAGTTGCGTATATAATAATCCAGAGAGGATGAGTTGCTAAAACTGAAACGTTCCTTTGTCAACAAGTATTTTAGAGAAAAGGACAGCTATTGTTTTCTCATCATCCTCAACTGCCAAAAGCCTTTCAAAAAATGTTTTTCTTCTTTTTTGCTGCAGTTAAGTGCTTTTATATTAGTAGAGCATGTTTTTTATCTGTGCAATAATACTGTCCAAAATATTCTTGTTTTGGTGTTGCAGGAGCTAAAACAATGTCCTTCCTGTGTGACAGAGACAGACCATGAATGTTTGATCTGTTTGTTTTGTGACCTTGTGTCAATTCAAGCCCAACTCATTTCATTTCTGTCTTTTTGACACGTTTGTTGTGTCAGAGGGAGAAAGAGAATTAAGAGCCCAAGCGTATTTCTGAGGCTCTGAAATCAAATGTTTTTGTTTTCCTTTTAACCCATGTGCACTTCTATTTGTTTCAGGGTCAAACTGAAGGACGGCGTGGCGTTCCTGGGAGCTAGAGCCAGTAATCCTGTTGTGTGGACGGTGAGCCAGGAAGTCAGAAGTGAAGGTCACAGGGTCGTCACCCTCCACTGTCGGCGAAAGGAGAGCAGTTATAGTCAAAGGTACGTCCGTCTCTTCTTCTGCGCAGTTAATCAATGCGTGAATGAAAAATGAAGTGAACACTCTGCTGAACATCCACAAAGCAGCAGCACACCTTCATTATTCTCATCATTTCTCGGACAGCTGTCAGGAGAGAGTGATTGCAAAGAGTGTGGATGAAAAAAGACATGACTCAGCATCTAAAGCATTCATTTCTTGGCACTGTCATGGATAACCGTGCAAGATGAAGTGACAACACTTTACAGGTGTGTAGTTTGAAGATGGGTGTATGGCGACAAGGGCATTGGAAGTAGGGGGTGATTGGAAGTGGGGAAGGGGCCATTGGCCTGCCCAGGGTATGGCGCTGGCCCCATTTAGGTGTAATGATCCCATCGCAAGATCCAGTTCAGTGTGTCAGCAAATCCCATTAAAAGACCAAAGCAGACAGTGGATAGTTCCTGTGTGCCCTAATCTACCAGGGTTACCAAAATACTATTAAATCTAGACCATCCATTGGAATAAATACGATTATTCTCAAGTGACCTACCAGACAAATACCCCAACAGCAAAAGTCAACCAAGGAGCCAATAGCAAGCTGCCAGGTCTTACTAAATAAACATACTGGTGGTTATACATCTTGATGTGTTATCCCGTTAACTACTTCACATTACTGCTAACCATTTTTCCAAACATACCATTAAATATCTCAAGGAATTTGTCTTTCACAAAAAAGCAATAAAATAAAAAGTTTGCTGGTTTGGAATTAAATTAATCAAAATCTACGGTGTTCTTTGAAAATGCATGGTAGTGAAGTAAAGTGAGATACAATGTAGCAAATAACTTGTTTAATCCTTGAAATTTCACTCAAGTACATGAAAAAAGGGTATTGCATTGTAAGTTTGATTGAGAAGCTCACCAAACTTACCATTATGTGTAGAATTTAAGAACTTCCTACTTTGGTGGGGCAAGGTGATGAATAAAAAGAAGGTTTGAAGAATAGAAGAACAAGTCTGCAACTTTCATATCATGTCCACAAGACTTAAATAATGAATTCAGGCTCATGCGTGGATGATTGCTGCTTACATTTATGTTTTTACATAAATATATGTTTGTGTATCTCTGTACAGTATCTGGTATTCAACGCGACAGATAAACGTTTTTAGGGCAAGACAAAGTAGCTGCTCAAAGGAAATGACACCGTACCTGCACTGTTATTTCCTCCTGTTTGCCAAGGTGAGGACGGTGATGAATGACAAGCCATCTATCATTTACATGCATTTCTTTCACACACCCGCTGTGAAGCCTGGACATTGAATTATACAGGATTGCTCAAGTCAAGGTCACACATGTTGAAGGTGGAATGACATCCTGCATCCTGCACCTCGACAAAAGACTACCTTGAAGTATTGAAATGATAATGGAAGGCAAGCTGAGACCCTGTGCTTTTAGGTTCCTTAAGATTACATATCAAATGGAACACCTGTAGAAAAGCAGTGAATGAACAACATTGTTTGTGGTCTTTACAAAAATGCACTGATCTTTAATAGAGAAATTCTCTTTGAGGAGGTTAAGCAGTTACAGAGAGAGTTGAACCAGTTTTTTTAATTTGACTGACACATTAAAAACATTTTCAAACGGAAAAATCAATGGAAAGTGCTCCCTTTGCGGTGCCAGTAGCCTTGGAAGCCAGTTCGGAAATTATTCTTTGCTTTTTGAGGATACCTGACTGGACAAATACATGATGGGCTTTTATTGGTCTTTGCTTTCGATATTCAAACAGGAACAAAATGAACTGTGTCTACTCATGCAATGTCGACTGAAATGTTGTTTGAAATGACTTTTTAGGGGGAGTAGACCTTGCAGTTTCAGAAATGTGCTTCATTTCTGAGCACAGAACAATGTTCAGAAGTGGCCCAACCACATCATCTATTATAACTCTCTTATTGGTCAAGCCTCTACCTCGAGGGCTCTTCTCTGTAGATATGTTCCAGACTACCATAGAAATAATTAATACATCTTGTAGTATTAAACTAAGCTAGCTTGGAGAGCAATGTTGAATTTAATCTGAACGTTTTGAAAGTAATTGTTGTAATTAAATCTGTTTCACTTCCTTTTACCTGCAACAATTTTGTTCTCCTTCTGACCAGTAATAGGTTCATACAAATTTTATTCTACTGCTTTCCTGTGGGTAGGAAATATCCCATCAGTCAGGTTAAGTGCAGAACGATCTTCATTAGCCAGAATATGAATGAGGGTTATGGACATAGGTAGAGATGGAAGCCAAGGTTTAAAAAAAGGCAATTGGCCTGAAACATTAAACTCCTCCTTATGTCAATTGAAGCTCACTTTGCCGACCATTAAAACAGCATCACTGGCAGAACCTGGAATATAAACACCGGAAGAGGTCTCTCCTGGGGCCTCATTTATAAAGCCTTGCGTAGGATTCACGTGGGAAGGTTGCTTACGTAGGACAAAGCAAATAAATACGCACAGACATTTTCCGATTTATAAAACACTGCATACCGTTTCCCTTTATAAATCACAATCAACTCGATCAAATCAAATGAAATAAAACAAAAGTGTTGTGTAATATCAGCTGCCAAATCTACCAAATATATGGTGTTCTTAGTTTCCATACCTCCTGTGTTTTATGAGTGACTTATCAAGTCTTGGCGAAAGGACATAAAACATGATTAAACATGATAGTGTAGTGCCGGTAAGAAGGAGTCGGAGGCGGAGTATTTAAGATGGAATTCCNCCCCCCCTTGATGAGAAACTGTAAGAAAGATCGGGGGATCCCTGCAGAGTGGAGTCAATTAATGTTTATTTTTCTATCTGGTGGTTTGTGTGCCACTGCCAGCTGTCAATCAGCTGTGCGCAGCGTTTCCACTGCAGCCTGTGCGTCTTAACCACCCCCCCGCAGCAACTCTATATCCACCTTAAATGAAATAAAACAAATGTGTTGTGTAATATCAGCTGCCAAATCTACCAAATATATGGTGTTCTTAGTTTCCATACCTCCTGTGTTTTATGAGCGACTTATCAAGTCTTAGCAAACGTCATAAAACTTGATTAGACATGACAGTATATAAAACCATGCTCGTATCTATACAACCTATAGAAAAGCAAAACGGCCTCAGTTTAGACGTAATTATGTCCTTCTGCATATCGAATCATTTATGAGAATACATATCGAATATGTTGTGTTAACATTAACACAACATATTCGAGGTGGTTTTCAATAACATTTCCGTATTTATTTATTTCTCCATGAAGTTAGGTTTTTGTGTGCACTGAGGAGTCTCAAACAGGCGTTTGTTTAATCATTTTAAGATTGGCTTCAATAATTTTTTGCGAATCAATTCTTCATATATGATAAATGAGAGGTAATATTATATTTATGGTATTATTTCCACATATTTCTCTCCATTCTTCCTTCTGCCAACGGTGTAGCAGTTTCTCGTCCCTCCGTTGTTGTGCTTAGTGCGTACGCATGGGTCAGAGTTTGCGTGGAGGACCGCACCTTTTCCCGTCAAGTTGTTTTTTTATAAATCGCAAACATCGCTTAGAAACTGGTGTACGCCATCTTTTGAGCGTACGCACCGTTTATAAATCAGGTCCCTGATCACCAGCTGGAGCCAGCAACGGTAGAAGGACCTACTCCAACCACCTGTGCTCTTTGTCCGCCCTTAGCTTAGCAGACTAAGAGTGCTTTAGTCCCACTTTCATGTAGTTCATTTATAGCTTAACATTGCCTTATACTTCAGACGATTACATTATCCTGCTGAACAGAACTTGAAAGTATCATAAAGGTGTGTTTGTCATAGATCTTATTTTCTGCAATATTCCAAAAAGCATTGGGAAAAACCCATTGCTTTTTGTCGAGGAAGAATGAAACCGTGTTTTTGCTCTTTAAAACAAACATAACACACAATGCTAGGAAGTGTAAAAGTATGGCCAGGAGATCTGCTGTTTTTAAGGGTGGTTGTTTTATGTAATTAATTTAAAGAAACACACTCTAACTTCACTGCTGATTAATATTATTAAAAGTACTCCATTAAAGGTCCCCTATTATACTGTTTTTCATCAATATATTACAGGTCTCAGATATATAAAAAACATGTCTCTGAAGTGTTTCGCTCCAAACACCAAACAGATCATTAGCCGCTTTCACACCGCAGGACTTGCCGTACTTTAGTGCCGGCACTAAAGTACCACGGCACTGAATCCGCCAGGGGGCTAGTGCCAATCGTATTCACACCGCAGTACTTTCCCTGAGGCAAGATTACGCTGACGTCACTTCGTCTTCTTCTTCTCTGGGTTTACTGGCAGGCTGCAAAACCACTTCACGGCGAGTACAAAAAAAAACGAGAGAAGAAAAACTACATGGGGGAGGGGGTGTAAAGCCCCCCCGCTGTACATGATATATATATATATATTATATAATAGGTAGGCTCAGCAGACAGACCGTAGTGCAAAGATAAAGTGTCACATGATTATCTACAAAATAGTGAATTCAGCATCAACTTCACCAAGATGAAGTTCATATCTTCCTAAGATACGTGTTACTTTATGTCCCTACTAGAATCCGAGCTCAAATTACTCAAACCAACAAAATGTCCAAGCAAAGAATCATGTGCACCATGAGGCTGGGTTATAAGGGTAATTTACATAAAAATTAGCTACTATTCCGATTAACCAAACTAAATACGAGTTTCGTCTCTAACAAGTAAAAGTGGCTGTTATCCTACCCGTCATATAAAAGTATAGATCACAGATTAATATGTTGTCGTTGTGTACGCCGACTTACAAACCGGTGGACGTAAGCCTCATTGATTGACGTAAAATCTACAAGAGGCTCGGTGCCGATTACATGGGGACGCGGACTATAATCACAAGAATATAACACTTTATTTTAGTCACAGACAGAAAGAAGTGTCGGGACCCGGACGAATTGGTCCCAATTCTATCGGAACCCCACAATTTCCACGTTACGACGTCGTAAAATAGTTTTGGTCGTATAAGTTTAATCGGTTATGTGTTTTTAGAGAAAAAACAGAAATTTCCCCTGAGTCGTTAGACGAAAAAGTACAAGGGAAGAGGGTAGTTGTACACAGGTGCGAGACACATTTCTCTAAGACTTGTCAAAGTCCCTTTTTTCCTAACGAGAAGAAAACAGGACTAGGTACTATATATTTTTTGGAGCTTTTTTACTCGACTAGTCTAAAACCCGACGGACGAAAATACTACCAGTGTTCGCAAACAACCCAACGACGATTGGGTAATCCGGTTAGTGGTTGGTTCCCATTGGGGTGTGGAAATAGTGGACTTAGAGGAGATCTCGTGGTAACCTGAATAAAAATATTGTTCATCATAGAGAGTCTCCCCGCACCCCTCCCCGGAGGAATAACAAGTAGATTCATTGTCCGTCTCTTAGTCGTGAAAACTTTGTCACGACTTTGTCCTCCCGCTTAATACCCTACGACGGTATCGCGTAAGTGTGGCGGCTCCTGAAGAGGGACCATGAAAACAAGAAATCAAGGCAATCGGGAAATGGTTATTACGAGCGCAAGTGGGCGGCCCCTATAAGTCGACGGGCCCCCCGCTTGAGAAAACCCGGTAAAAAAGTCGAGGGACCGGCCAATCTCTCCACGCATGCTTCGGACTGCAGCTCACCCTATTTTTTTAACGGTTAAACATATAAGATAACAGATAAACGCCCGACCCCACTTAAACGTTTGTGCCCGGCGGAAGACTGAGACTTAACAACGAAGCGACCAATCGCGGGTCGGGGTAAAAAAGGCAGCGATGTTTTGTGGTGTACGGTAGTGGCCGACCTCCGGCCTTCATCAAAAAAGACATGAAATTTCGGTCGGAATACTGTGTGCCATGATTGTTGTGGCCTCGCCCAACCTGTACCGTACTCCTTCACAGCGCGAAGACGAGACGTTAAATGAGACTCCGTGTACCTACCGTCGTCGGAAAGATGTCTTTCGGGTCGAAGGGTTAGAGGTTTGACAAACAACTCGGCGTACGAAGCGTTTTCGGGATGAACCTCGCCGCACGCGCAGTCGAACCTACGGCAATAACAATAACAGGACTGACACGTTATTTTGTTTGTTTGAACCGCTTCGAACATAAATAACAATAGGGTGGGATACCAGGGTTGGGTTGAAACGTCGTTTATCATTCTTACACCTCCGTCGTCTTCCCACTGAGCCACCAACTTAACATAGATGTTACAGACGGGTTGGCGGACGTTCGTTACGTCGCGCGTCGTTTGTGTTCAGAATGTGTGTATTGTGTTTCATTAAACTGTACAGTAAACAACCATATATTTATCCCCCTTTTGGGTTTGTTGCCGAATCTACAGGAAAAGGTTTTAGTCGGAACTCCCCGCCCCAACTTATATTATTATTCTTATGTATTTCTATTTCAAGGTGCGAAACCCAATATTACCC